CTGCTAAGTGCTGATAAAGGAGCAGTTTTAGTCCACATCCATGGATTTATTGCTCAAGAAAGTCTGGGCAGAGAGCAGGATGCTTGGTGCACAAATGATCCCAGGTGCTCCTGATACCCCCATTGTCCCAGGTCCAATTCTCGGCGTTGCCCATGGCACTCCAGGACAGGGCATTCCCCCCTCCTGGCACCACAGCACTGTAGCCAGGGCAGAATTTCCTGCCAGGCACAGCAAATCCTCTTGTCCCTGCGTCTGGCTGCACCCCTGCGCCTGATGCCCCCATTGGCCCAGGTCCAATTCTCGGCGTTGCCCATGGCACTCCAGGACAGGGTATTCCCCCCTCCTGGCACCACAGCACTGTAGCCAGGGCAGAATTTCCTGCCAGGCACAGCAAATCCTCTTGTCCCTGCGTCTGGCTGCACCCCAAGCCCGTCCATCACCCCATAGCCATATGGAGGTGTGCCAAGGAGGTGCCAGTAGCCCTGCCCCATGGCCTTTGTGCAAGCTGCCCAGCAGAACACCTTTTTTTTTGCTGAACCCCTCCACACGCCCTGGGAGGTCTGATCCTGGTCCAAAGTCCTTCCCTGGATCTGCTGGAGTTGCAGATACTGCCAGCGGCTTTGGGCTGTCGGATCGCACCATGCAGCTCCTGACATTCCTCACCCTGTGCCTCTGGGCAGGGCTCAGCACTGCTGTCATCCCAGGTGGGGACAAGGATGGGGATGGATGCCTGGCTTGCTGCAGTGGGTGCCTGGGGAAGCAGGGCATCAGCCTGGCTGGCCACAGGGAGAGACTGGGGAGGGGAGCCGGGACTATCCAGCTGTGCAAGGGTTAATGGGGGTTACCTGTGCTTTTCTGGTGTCCTTGAGTCAGTTTTCCCCGGGGGGGTTGAGTTCCTGCTTGTTTCTGGGCCGAGGGATGATCTGGGTCCCCCTGGGATGTGAGTACCCTGCGGGGATGCCTCAGGGAGTGCCTGCTGGTGAGCTGGGGCTGATGGATATTTGCCCTGTCCCAGCGGAGGAGGAGAATCCATCCTTCTGGAACAAGCAAGCGGCCCTTCAAAATCAAGCCCCGGATAGGCCAAGCCGAAAACCTCATCCTCTTCCTTGGGGATGGTGAGTCCTGCTGGCAACCCAGCAGGCAGACTGGCATGGCCAGTGCTCTGCTGAGTGGGGTGTGGGGAGGGCACCTGGTCCAGAGGGTGACTGGGACCTTCTTCCTCCCCCAGGATTCGGAATCCCCACCATCACAGCCACCCGCATCCTAAAGGGGCAGCTGCAGGGGAAGCTGGGCCCTGAGACCCCTCTTGCCCTGGATGCTTTCCCCTATGTGGCTCTCTCCAAGGTAAATCCCACCATGTTGGACAGGGGTCAGGGTGATCCTGGGCATGGAGCCGCCGCAGTGCCCATGGGGCTGCTGGCACCCCAGGGATGTATGTGTGTGGTGCACGGGGTCCCTGCCCATCCCACACTTGTCCTGGGTAAGCGAATGAGCATGGCAGGGGGTGCTGGGGAGTGGGAGCACCCTGCTGTATGCTTCTGCCAGCCACCCCTGACCTGAGCCCATCTGTCCTTGGCAGACGTACAACGTGGACCGGCAGGGCGCCACGCACGCGGGGCAAGGCCACGCCAGTCACCG